TAAAACTCTTAACATGGGAGAATAACGAAATAGGACAAATAGGATTTGAGTTAAAGGAATTACGATGTTAAGAGGACATGACTAGCTTTAAAGCTAATTTAAGCAGGGAGTTAAATAAAGAATAAGAGCATTTCAACCAGCAGCGCTAGGCTGATCAAATTAACAGTAAGTTCCAACAAACAAGAGCAGTAATAGTCTTACAGATAAACTAGTTAACTAAATTTTGAGGCTGCTTCTCAAGGTTAGGTTTTTCAAATTAAAACAAAATTACTGAATAAAATACATTCTTTATATGTTAGAAATCGTTCTGGGTTACGAAAAGGTGAAATCCTACGAAAAACTTTCAAAATCACTTAATGCAAACGGTTATTCTACTGTTCCACAAGAGGCAACTCCACAGATCTCCCTGTTCTCGATTTGAGACATTCAGAGCATTATTTTTTTCGACTTCCGAGTATATTCAGCGCCAGCCGCGATTTAGTACATGTCATATGACTGACTACGGCAAAAATTCACATAAATGCTTTGCACAGAATATAACAACAGCTGTTCCGCAACCTATTTTTTATTCTAAGAGTGTAATGCTTCCTTCAAAGTCGTAATCCCAAACTTCTATTATATTTTTCGAAGGAAGTGCAGCATGGGTGGGAAGAGAATGAGCAAAATGAGCTATTAGGAGCACGTGGTAGGGCACATGGAAGGGCACAATAAGAGGATATGAATGAGTGGCGAGCATGGCTTCGTCGTCGAAGACGTAATCCCTATATGAGTGCTGGGGAGGTTGCACGATCGAGTCCGACTGCAAGGGATTAATCGAGCCTCGTCCACATCGTCGTTTGCATATTTCCGCACTCGTGCGTGCGTAAGAAAGCTTGACTGACCGCATATGTCCGAGATGGACAATTACTGCGATGTCAGTCTGCTCGACGTAGCCGCGATGACGAACGACGAGTGAGCGCTTGGTTGGCGTGACAGCTTCAACCAGGATCATTACATACGTCAGATGGACGGAGACAAAAAAATCCGCAGATAATTGGTGCGTAAATCAAAATTTCACAGGGAGGTCAAGGCGAAGACCGGCTAAATTCGCTTATTATGTGTGCGAACCCTGTGAACCAAGTGCTTATCTCCTCGAAGGGGTCAGTTATGAAATCGTCCGCGGGATAGGCTCTAATTAAAGAACTGCTGAGATTTATGC